CATCATAAACTAATAGCTTATTAATTGCATATTTGCATGTACTACTTGCAAAGAGGCGATTTTGTTTTTTTTTTATTCAAAGAGAAGCTTAGATTTTGTTGAAACTCTAAACATAGATTTTAACTCCTTTACTATCTTCTCTTTCTCTTCATGGTTGAATTCTGATCTCAATGTGATTTTCGCTTCGATTAAACACTTCGAGTTTGCAAGGATGTATCTCATGAGTTCTTCCTCATCTTCGCTTCCTCCGTATTCTGTCCACACAAAGATCGCTAGATGGAACGACAAGCATCTAGGAACATAACTAGATTGGTGCCATGACAATGGGATATACCCAGGTAGAAATCCTTTTTCCTGGATATCAAATTCAAGAAGTAGAAGCAAAGACCAGTTTATAAATATGTGGTGTGCCATAAGGATATTGACTTATTGTATTGTTACTTACAGGATGGATATGGAGCATCCCAAGATTAGGAGAGTTGTTAAGAATTATTTGAAGTAGATCTAACCAGAGATGGTATCTTGGCTCTAGTATAATCTGTATAAGTCGAGAGAAGGTAATGCCACTAAAATTCACAGCCTACAGTAACAAAATTGAAGGACTAAGATAAAAATAATGAACAAGAAAGAGTGAGAAGGATATAAAGTTAGAGATAGAAATTGATACCATTGGATCTTTCAAACGCAGACAGAGAGACCTGAACAAGGACATAGAACTCATAAACTTGTCATCAGCGTTACAAAGAACAAAAATATGCGGCCTAGCAAAGTGAGTCAAATTCCTCTTCAATAAAACGTTTTCCCCACAATCACTTATGTTCACAAGCACATGATAAAGAAATGAGCAACTTGATAAAAGCCTGACGAGACAATCTACCGTTTTGTAGACCACATAAACAAGGCGCAATATTTTGAGAGACGGGAGGCAAACCGAGGAAGGAACATCCACGAGAATCTTGCCCGAGAGAGTCAATACCACAAGCGTTTTACATGTGTAAATGCTCTTAGGCAAGCTGATGGATTCTGCGGTCCAGAGAAGCTCAACCTCTAGCTCGCGCACAAAGCGATCAACTGCATTTGAAACCCATTTTCCAACATCTACAGTAGTAGGACATTTTTCACCTAGTCGGATACGCAAAGTTTCTAATACAGGTGCCTTGTGAACTTCCATTGACTTGTTAATAAACCTGCAAAGGCTTTCGCATTCATCACCAGTGTCTATGTACTCGAGTTTAGGCACCATTGTCCAAATAAAACGCCATCGTTTTGACAGAAACATGGTGGCAACTGCATCTTTGGTCTTGACAAGCAACAAAATCTGAATGAGCAAGTCGTCGGGCAGGGCACTGATTGAAGAACCAATAGATGTGACTGGAAGTTTTGAACCATTTCCAACAATGACCGTGTGATTGATATTATGATTAAGATTAGAGTCGAGAGTACCTTCTGTGGCCGAGAGATGAGCTATAAAACCAGAATCCATGATCCAAGGTGCGCCATATGGAACTGGTAGAGGCTGGGAATTTGGATTCATTGGACGTGAGGCTGCAAGAGGTCGATAAGTGCCCATTTGAGAGTAAGGAGTCCAGTTTGCAAATTGGTTGGGCCATGGGAAAACTGGGGGGCCAGACCACATGTTGGGTGGAGCCCAATAAAGGAAATTAGGGCTACCAAACTGGAAATCATTTCGTCCTATGTAGCGGACGTTGTTCTTCCGATTTCCACGGAAGTTGTTGGACTTTGCTGGCTGTGTGGTCTGTTGATGATGGTTGTTGTTTCCTCTGTTGTTGTTGAACGTTTGTTGTTGATTTGATGGACGATGTGTTGGCGGCGAGGCTGCAGCGACGGTGAGAGCAGTTGAAGAGGAAGCGTGATCTGTATGCGTTGCAGAGAAGCGTTGAGACTTTTTGAGGCGAGATTCTTCCATCTCGAGCATCGATTTTGCAACAGCAAAAGTAGGAAACGGATCTTTGTGTTTGATTACATTGATAATGGAATCAAATTTTTCATTGAGACCGTTTAGCAGGTACATGACTAAGTTTCGTTCATTGACGGGAGCGTCCACGTTGGAAAGCAAATCAGCAAGTGATTTGATCTTTTGACAATATTCCTGAATTGTCCGATCTCCAATCTGCTGGGTACGTAGCTCGTTGTCGAGTTGGATGGCCCTTGCTTCTTTCTTGTTTCTGAATTGGTTTTCAACACGAAGCCAGACATCTCGTGCGGTTCCACCAGTTTCAAAGGAAGAGCGAAAGAGTGGAGGAGCAAGCGTGCCATAGATCCAAAGCTTAACGAGACCATCACGTTTGTGCCAGGCAGCGTCGTTGGCGTTAGCCGGAAGAAGAGTGCCGTCGAGGTGCCCAAGGACATCAAACGTTAGACAATGGGTCATAAACAGTTCACGCCAAGCATCGTAATTGTGATCGTCAAGATCCAAGATGAGACTAGGTATGTGAGATTTGATGTTGGTAACACCAAATGCTCTTTCATGTGTTTGAGGGGCTGGAGGGGCAGCCATTGAAACAGATCAGAGAAGAATAGAAAGACTAGAAGAGAAACAAAAGAGAGTGATCAGGAGCGTATTAGCTCTGGGATCAATTCATTAACGTGGCTATATAAAGCCGAAGTGGTTACATAAAATCAGGGATACAAGAAAGATATTAACAGAATATCTACAAGGCTAGGAACAGAATATCCCTATATTCTTTCACTGATCCTGTCACTGGAAACAACACAACTTGGCTTCTTATGACGACATAGGGCTAAGATTTCGAAATTAAGATTACAGAAATAGACGAGCATAACAAATGTAGACGAGGAGGCGTCGAGGCGATGGACGAACCCTAATAATCCAAAGCCCTAGACCATTTGTTATTTTACGTTGTTATAAGAATAACTCGGATCACAAAAGTAAACCCTAAATTATAAGGTGAAAGTGGTCTATATATGCATGTTATATAACGGGAAAGTGAAGCTGATAGCCTGATACTGATCGAGATAAGATAAAAGTCATAAAACCAATCTAAGACAAACTGAACCCAACCAAAACCAAAATCCTATAAACTGATGATGCATATATAATAGATTTTATTTTGCATCCGTTATTATTTTTCTAAACCGGAAAAGCGTGAACTGTCCCCGTATAAAAAAAAAACAAATGAATGAAGTTTGCTTCTCGTGAAAAAAAAACAAAGATTCATCTCCTGTCTTGTTGGCCACATTTAAAGGAGACTTAGAGCAGAACGTAACAAAAATGTGTAAAAGTCTAGAATATCGCACTACTAGAAACAGAGGACTACAAGAAAAAAGAAAAAAAAAAAAACAGAGGAGCTTAACAAAAACTACAAGACGATAAATAGAGACTGGCCAAGTTCCTATTCACACAGCATGTTAGTTATGATATTTTTTGTTCCACTCAAACTCATAGTGACATAATGATTCCTTGAGAAGCTTAGAAAATGATAAACTAAGCAAAGTTCTTCCTTATCTCAAGCTCATTGGATTTTCTCAGGAGACAGGACAGAGAATTATTGTGAACACAGGAACTACCAAATAAAATACAAAAACAGTAAACTTCTAGTATGTGCCGGTGTCTCAAAAACAGTAAACTTATAGTAAGACTGCATGTGTGACAGACAACACATTCCTAAATAACAAATTCTTGCATTCTTGTTTTTATTGATTTTTATGAGAATTGAGTTATACTTGCAAAGCATTGGAACTCAAATAACAAAATGACTGAACATATGATTTTTTTAAAAAAAAGAGTAGTCAAAAGTTTAAAATCTCCATTCTATTTGAGTGGAGAAGACAAGCTGAAACGATATTTTTTTCTTTTGAACACAAAGTGTTTTGCATGTGTAAAGACTCTCAGGCAACTTGGTAAGTGTTCTTGGTCAAAGTAGCTTGAGCTCTAGAACACGCACAGGGCGATCAACTGCGTTTGCAATCCACTTTCTAGCATCAACCGGTCGAGTATGGACACGCAAGGTTTCTAAAACAGGTGCCTTGTGAAGTTTTTTTTTTTTTTTTTTCATTGACATGTTAATAAACATACAAACGCCTCCGATTTCATCATCATTGTATCTGTACTCCAGTTTAGGCACCATTGTCCAGACAAAACGCCAGCGTTTTGACAAAATCATGGTTGCCACTGCATCTTTGGTGGAGACAAGCGACAAAATATGGACCGCGTATGCGATGTTGTATCAAGTAAGAATTGAACTCATGAAAGAGTGAATTTACGCCATGGCCTTGAAACACCACCACCCGACCGCATTAAACTATTATGCTCAATTTAACTATAACGTCCATTTGTTCTGCATGTTAAATCCATATGATCTTGAAACTCAAGAGGGCTATGTTCTTGTAGTCGTAGATGTTACTTTTCAAGTTTCAGGGTTTTATGTGTTGCATTCTTCATTATATCTTTCATCTTTGGATAATATACTAGCTAATTTGAACCGAACAAAAAACAATGTGAATCAATTTATTTCATAACAAAAATCAGACTGATTTACTATTTCAATAACCAAATTGAACCAAAAATACCAAAATTTTAATTACATTGTGAAATAAATCATATATATTTTATAAATTCCAATTACTCTACATTTTTTTATTTTATTTAGTAAGCTTGTTTTTTTTTTTTTTGGATTAATTTTGGTTTGGTAGTCTTGCTTCCAAAAATCAAACCGGTCTTTAATTGAACCGAAACCAACATAATTGAACACCACTGAAAAACCTACAAATTTCGTCAATTTTAATTACAATGTTTTTATAATGTTAGTTACATTGTATAATAGATCATATAAATTCTAACTACTCTACAGTTTTTTTAATTTAGTCATCTTGCTCTTTTTTTTTTTTTGATTAATTTGGGTTTGGTAGAAGATCGTTCCAAAAATCAAACCGGCCTTTAATTGAACCGAAACCAACATAATTAAACACCCATTGAAATACCGAGTTCTCTTTCCTTCTTCTCGCACAACTTCACAGACAGAGAAAACCTACAAATTTCGTCACGGAAGCAACAATTTGGCTATAAAATCGTAAGTTTCTGCTAAATTCTTCATGGGTTTTGAAGCAATCGTTGTTATCCACCAGATTTCTCATCCTAGCTAGGTGAATTGATTTAAACCCAAAAGCGCACGAACCAGTTTCTTTGCGATTCTGACTCAAATCAGTTCAAGAATCGTTCTTTTCTCTATCGCTGAACTTGTCTAGACTGTATCATAGGGTTAGTTTTGTGGGTTTCTTCTTCCTACGGATTCAATGTTTGCGTATGGTTGTGTTCTTTAGTTCTTGATATAATTTAGCTACCCAGAACTTTAACTTTGTTTCGTATTCTCATTTGTTTTGCAGGAATCAGAGCCGTTTGTGAGAAATTGTGTAATCTAAATGGTTAGTTATAGGGATAGGCTTAGTCAGTTACCAGATGATTTCCTCTTACAGATATTATCATGGCTTCCAACAAAAGATGTTATGGTGACGAGTCTTTTGTCGAAACGATGGCGGTTTCTTTGGACATTAGTCCCTAGGCTCAATTATGATCTAAGGCTTCATGATAATACATATCCAAGGTTTTCACAGTTTGTTGATAGGTCTTTGTTACTACACAAGGCTCCAACTTTGGAGAGTTTGAATATCAGTATTGGTTCGGTATGTTATACTGCAGAGAAAGATGTTGGTGTATGGGTTCGAATTGGGGTAGACCGCTTCGTGCGTGAGCTGAATATCAGTTATTGTTCTGGTGAAGAGCCTATTAGATTGCCTAAGTGCTTGTTTACTTGTACAACGCTTGCGGTTCTGAAACTCGAAAACGTAAGTCTTGTTGATGCTTCTTGTTACGTTTGCTTCCAATCCGTCAAGACTTTGCACCTTCTAGATGTGAAGTACTTAGATGACCAGTCACTTCCTCGGATTATATCCAGCTGTTCTAGTCTTGAAGATTTGGTTGTGCAAAGATGCCCTGGTGACAATGTTAAAGTCGTTTCTATTACTGCTCCATGTTTAAAGACTCTATCTTTGCATAAATCGTCACAAGCTTTTGAAGGAGACGATGATGGGTTCTTGATAGATGCTCCTAAATTGAAGCGCGTAGACATTGAAGACTATTGGGGTGGCTTCTGTTACATTGAGAACATGCCTGAGGTGGTAGAGGCAAATGTCGATGTTATTTATAAAAATACCGAGAAGCTTCTGGGATCTCTCACCTCTGTCAAGCGCCTTGCACTATGTCTGATCACTTCAGATGTAATCTCTCTTCCTATTACCTGAACCAAAAATAATGTCGGTTTCTTGTGATTTGATTTGATTTACTTGATGTTCTTAAATGCAGGCTGCTTATCCCGCTGGTACCGTCTTCTCTCAGCTTGTTCATCTGGAACTATGCACATGTGCGCCACGATGGTGGGATTTACTTACCAGACTGTTTGAAGATTCACCTAAACTAAGAGTTCTTAAACTCCGCCAGGTACATTAACACAAACCTAGTTTCTGTTATTCTGTTACTTTCACCTTCGGTTTCAGTTTTGATTGTACAGAGCATTGGAGTTCTTATAGCTCTTTACCAAATTTTGATCTCAGAAACATATTCGACGTGCCCCTAGTCCCCGCGCTTGTTGGAAGCAACCTGTTTCTCTTCCCAAGTGTTTGTTATTTCACCTTGAGACGTTCAAGTGGGAACTATACGAAGGATCACAAAAGCAGAAAGAAGTAGCGACATTTATCTTAAAACACGCTATTCGATTGAAGACAGCTATTATCTCTCCAAAGCCCACCAGTACTCTGCTAGAGAAACATGAGATGCTCAAGGAGTTGTCATTCTCGCCGCGTGGTTCCAGTACATGCGAGCTCTTGTTCGACTGAAAAAAGGAAGAAGAAATGAACTTAACTTGTCCTGAAAAATTTGTTTAGTAAACATCTTGTGGATTGTTGTCTCTATTGATCTAAAAGTTAGAACCTCATCTGCATTTGGTTTATCCTCATGTGTTTCTTATATTAGTATTGAACAAGAGCACATTAAATGACAATAATCCTCTCAAAGTTGTTCAGGACATTCTTTGAGTGTTCCAATCTAATCTCTAAAACCTCCGTAATCATTATGTGTACATATTTGTACTCACAGAATCAGTTAAGAAAAAGCAAGCTTTATCATCTATATAAGCAGAGGACAAATCCACTATTGGCATTGATTTGTAACAGGTCTACTGACAACTAGTTCGTTTCTGCTCCACTTCCGTAGTTTGGATTCCACACTGATTTCTCATTTTGTGCTGAGCTTATATATAAACATACGTATAATCTCTTAATCTGATAGAAATGAGCTAGAATTTGGATCTAGTCATGTCGGGAGAATTCAAGCTTTTTTCCATGGGTTCTGTTTCGTTCCTCTGTTATTACTTTGTTACTCTGCTTTTACGTTTCTACTAGTTGCCAATGGAGGTTTCTTTGGAAGAGGGGGCCAAAAACATGAGTTCAATGACATCAATTCTGAGATCTCTACATGCAAGAAGAGGCTACGGCGTTTCATTAAAAGGAATTTGCCAATACATGGGAATCTGGTCTTAGAAAGCTTGCATCTCAAGTTTAGTACTTTTCCATTTCAACATGAAGATATCGAATCGATTGGATTGTAGTTTCTCGGCGTACGTGAGCTGAATATTGTTTATTCACCTGGTTCGGGCTATCCTAACACATTTTCAAGAATTCAAGAAGATTGTGTACTTGCAAATTGCTTGTTTCCTTGAAACTAGATTACAAGATTCTCGTGGATACTCCTTCTTTCAGTATTTCAAAGTTATTGATTACAATAATGATCTCGTGGATAATACTGCATATATTCCTAATTTATCCATATGAGATATTTATATAAATATGTATACTAAGAAATAAGAATTAATAATTTGTTAGATTTTTATTTGTTAAAACAAATAACTTTCTTAAGCGACAACTTTACTTACTTTTTTTTTTTAGTTTAGGTATTATAGTATTTGTATTCACTAAGGATAATTCAATAATATTTTTTTTTTAATTCAATAAATTTGCTTGGAAAAAGATTAGTTTTCAAAAACAATAAAATGTGTATTTCTCCGATTCCTTGATTTACGTTCCTAGGGTTTTGGCAAATTGAAGATTTTCTAGGGTTTGTTCTTTTTATCTGTTTTTATTATTCTCTGCCTCTACAGTTGATTGTTACTATTCTTCTGTGTGTGGGTAAGACAAAAAAAAATCTCGATCTCTACCCTATGGTGAGGGGGTTTGAATAAGATATGGACAAGATAAGTGGGTTTTCTGATGATGAATTGCTTGTGAAGATCTTATCGTTTCTTCCAACAAAAGTTGGTGTAAGCACGAGTATTTTGTCGAAACAATGGAAGTTTCTTTGGATACGGGTGCCAAAACTTGAGTACGATGACATTAGCTTTTACAATAAACTATTGAACAATAAATATATGCTCTCCAAGGAGGGTGACAGTAGTAGAACCGATTCTTTACTGTTGGAAAAAAGCCTGCGGATGCGGCTTTTTATTGACAAGAATCTTCCATTACAATCCTCTCCGGTTATAGAGAGCTTGAGTCTCACGTTTTACACTACACTATTTCAACCTGAAGATATCAAATTGTGGGTTGAAATTGCAGTTTCTCGTTGTGTTCAGGAGCTAAGCGTTAATTTTTATCCTTTCAAGGGAAAACGTAATGCATTATTGCCGACTAGCTTGTATACTTGCGAATCACTTGTGACATTGAAACTAAGAAACAACATTCTCGTTGATGTTCCTCATGTTTTTTGCCTCCCCTCCTTGAAAACTTTGCACCTTCAATATGTGATATACGCAGATGAAGAATCTGTTCAACGGCTTTTATCTAATTGCTCTGTTTTGGAAGATCTAGTTGTGGAACGATCTCCATTTGACAATGTGAGAAAGTTCGCCGTTATCAGCCCGTCATTGCTTCGTTTATCCATTGAGAATTCAGACCTATGTTCTGAAGGGTATGTGATAGATACTCCTTCTTTGAAGTATTTCAAAGCTACAGATATCAGTACACGTTCCTCATGTTTGATTGTGAATATGCCTAAGCTGGAGGAGGCAGATATCATCACTGCTGGTCACAATATCAAGACGCTTCTAAAACGTATCACATCTGTCAAGCGTCTTTCATTGCTTATACAAAACAACAAGGCAGAGGTAATTTGAATCCGTTGATAGTCTTCAATTCTTCAATATATCTCTTAAATTACTAAACTGTCTTTGTACAGATTGTCACTGGTGTATATGGTGATGATATTGTCTTTGATGAGCTTAAGGATCTGAAGTTTAGTATCTATAACGCATATTGGTCCAAGTTACTATACTGGTTGCTCATAGCTTCTCCCAAACTACGAAACTTGAAGTTCAAGGTAAGTTTCTTCGATAGAAAAAATTACTAATTTTGTTCAAATTCAATGTAATATAATGTGCCCTTTCATCTAACTCTTATGTTTTAATCCAAGGAACAATTTTCACGTGATGGTATGGATAGACTGGGTTGCTGGAATCAACTGACTAGTGTTCCTCAATGTTTGTGGTCGAGTCTCCAAACTTTCAAGTGGTTAGGTAACCATGATTCCATAGAAGGGAAAGCTCTGGCGACATATATTTTGAGAAAGTCTTGCCGGTTAAAGACTGCAACAATTTCTATCGGACAAGGACAAAACAAGCTTGAGATGGAGAGGGAGGTGAAATGTTGTTTCCGTGGTTCACCCACATGCAACCTCGTATTCAGTTGAGGATTCGAATCATTAGGGTTTGCTACTATATATCTTAAGGATTGCAACAATAAATTTCATCTGTTTAAAGTTTTTGTAGCATTTATTGATTTAGATGATTTTATAAAAAAGATTTAAGAAGATGTGAATTATATTTACCAAAAAGGAACCGTATGTTTTACAAGAGCTTGGCGAAAGCTAGTGGTTTTACTCATTACTCATTAGCAAACCAATTTTGACGTAGAAATTTTTTACTCCTTGCGGAATTTTTTGGCGGAAAAAAATAAATTTGGTGGAAAATTATTACGTTTTATTTATTTATTTTAATTAAATAAATAATTTACATTTTAGGTTTAGTTAAAGTTTAAGGTGCTATTTGCAGTGGCGGAGGTAGCACTATAACATGGGGTCAATTGACACCCATGGATTTTTAAAACTTAGTTTAATTTGATTAATTATTTATAAATTGACCCCATTACAAAATAAAATTTGACCCCATCAAATTTTAATTTAAGAGAAAACTACTAAATATTATATATCAAAAAGAATTAGTACAAATAAACTCATTACAAATAAACAAAAGTAAAACTATATATCCATTAAAATGAGTTCAACCTAATTATGTCTATTCTTTTGCTACTTTATGATTTTA